CTATAAACGCTATAATCTCTGGGTTAGCTGGATGCATGCATCTTCCTACAATTATGTACTTCGGTTCCAGTTGACATGTTTCTATATCGTTTCTGAACCGGTGCTCTAATCAACAAATGTGGAACCCCATTTCTTAAACCAGTGTGGTGTATTAATGAAGACAAATTTTATGTCATCCAATTCACATTGACCTACTTTGAAAAATTAAAATAATACCCAGTATGTTCTCTGGCCATCAAATCACAATAGAAATCTTATGACAGATAGACAACTAACTTATCTCTGGGTTAGCTGGCTGCCAGCAACAGCCTACAATTAGGTCCTCCGGTTCCAGGTGCCAGGATCCCATCCCAGGTCACAGCCAGAGGCACCCTGGCCTCTACTTACCTTCTGGAGGTCTAGGTGGGGCTGCTTTGGGTCCAAATAAAACATGCTGCCCACGAAGGGCAGGGGCCTCGGTCCTGGCGGGTAGTTCTTGGGGCGCCGCTTTTTGAGGTAGTCAGCCAGGAACAGGAAGGCAACCGCAGCCAGCAGCAGAGTCTTCAGATGGAGCTCTGCCCAAATGGCGGCCACCAGGGAGCCTGTTGCAGCGAGCATGGCTGGTACTCCGTGCAGGCTCTCTGGAAGAATGAGGATCTGAACTGAGAAAAGTCTCCAGGGTCACAGCCTCTGGTTCCAAGCATGGGCCAGCCCCTTTGCTAGGCCCGCTCCCTCCCACAGGACCCCGCCCTCTTTCCCTCTGCAGACTCCTCCGCCCAGGGCTGTGCGTGGCTTGCTGCCAGCCCTTAGGCCTGGCGGCAAGCTCTTCTAAAACTTGTTTCTTTTCAGCTCTCTAAGCCAGAGCAGAGCTTTGTGCCTTCTGCCCCTTACCTTTTCCCATTTTTCTCAAGGACCCAATCTCCCTGCTCCCCTGCACCCACCTCGACGCTCTTGGTCACGCGCTTTCCCCAAGTTCCTGATCAAGTGTTTAGACTGTCCAGCCTGTTCCTCTGGAGAAACTAGGGTGAATTCCAGGAAGAAGGCACTTGGTAATGTCTGGCCTGGCAAAGAGCCTAGCTCGTTCAGAAAGCCCTTCCACCTGGTTCTCGGTTTGTGATCTGCATGAATTCCAGAGATTATCATGGGCATCTGAACTCCTGTTTTCTAAACAAACTTTGACCAGTGACTGCAACCTTCTTGGGACCCGAGAGAGAGCAGCACTGGCCTCACTTTGACAGGGCTATGCACAGAGAATAAAAGAATCCACAGATTCTTAGTTAACATTGAAGGAGCACCTTGGTCTTGATTCTACGTTGTTTGTTTGTTTTGTTTTCATGTAGAGATTGAAGTCGGCCCTTGAGCATGTTAGACAACCTTTCCATTGCTTCATCAGTTTGTTTACTTTCTTCCTCCCTATTTATTTTTGAAGTTAGTATGTAAATTAATGAATTTTCTTTAGCACATTCATGTCTATATATTTTCATGTCTATAGTTTCATGTGTGTGCATATATATGTATCCATACATTCTCTCTCCCAGGGCTCGCGTCATTCAAAGCAGGTTATAGTCAGCAACTGATGCTTAGATGTATCTGCCAGCCAAGTGGAACCCTACTGAGATAAGTTTAAACTAGGAACAGAAGTTAAAATGCATGTACTTAAAAGAAAATAATACATTTGAAACTTTCTGGTCCATATTGAATTCCATACTATAGATAAAAGCAGATAACAGGTATCTGTAATGATAGGCATAGACTCATACTTTTGAGTTCTAGTGAAAACTACAGATTTTGGTTAGAAGCGTGTATATTTTTCTGCTGTTCAGAGAGCCAGGTATGAATTGGACAGAGATGTCTTTGGCCTGTTGAGAAATACCTTTAAGTTCATATTTAAATACCAACCAGAATAAATGTAAAACCTTGAGCTTGTGACTGAAGCAGTAGGCAGTCATTGCTCTATCAGCTCATCAGAACTATACCACAGAAAGGGAAAGAAATCAGAAATATTTTCCATTTCTTAACTTGCATTTACATTTTAAATCATTTTTAGATCCTCAAAACTTATGAACTTTTATATTTTAAGACCTTTATATATCTTAAAACATTTTTTAATTAAGAGACCGTGTAGCTTTAGAAGAAAAAAGGCTTGATTTTTGTATCTATAAAATGAGCTAACAAGCTGGCTAAAGCTTTGTGGAAGGATCTGGATACCTGTTGCTGCTAAACTGACAAGATTGTAGCTGGCCTGGCCATCGATATCAGAGATCCCAAAAGGATAAATAAATTATACCTGAATACAGACTAAACAGCTTCTGAATCTATTAAAAATGACAGGGACCAGAGTCCATACACAGTTAGCCACACACTGGTCTCCATAGCATTGGAGGCAGAGGTATGCAGAACAGCAGTCTTACAGTCTTAGCAAGGCCCATTAAGTGATTTTTTTCCCCCCTGTGGAAGAGGAACATGGAAAAGCCTGACTTTATTTTGTCTAGGCAAAAGTGGTGCAATCAGTCTCCAATGTCCTTCTGTTTGTCCACAGTCTGGATCTGGCCCTCGTAGTAGGTGTTGCACTGGGGCATCTTGCCCAGTGATAAGCATCATCATAATCCAGGTGGAGACATCATGGTGTCCTATAATCTTCTTTGGAGACCTTGGGTTACTGCTAGTATCTTGGAGTCTCTATCTAATATAATAAGCTTTTAAAATCATTATTTTACATGCCATATTCTGCAGATTTCTGAAGTACGAAGGCTGCCTAGGTATAACTGATTGAACTAACTTTGTTCTAGTTACTTGTTTTGAATTTAACTTTGAAAACCTACACGGGAACCTAAATAAGGCTTATCCCAGTAATTAATGATATCAGTACTTTAAGGATGACTGACTAATTTGTATTTCCTAATAGTCTATAATAAGTTAGCAGTTTTTATAAGACTAAAACTTTACATTCTGTCAGGTTTATCCTTAAAAAATAATGATTTTTGAATTGAAGCTAATAGTCATTCCAAGGGTAAAAACAGAACAAGTTTGTATCCATCTGTTAATGCTGTCTCCTGGGAAGGCAAGGAAAAGGTTCCAGTGCAAAAAGGAAACAGGAGGGAGCCTAGGGGTAGCATTGCCCTTGATAAGTTCTAAGGCACTGCACCAAGTGTTAGGGAAGAGCCACAGTTGCCTTTTGCCAGAGATAAGAAGGAGGACACCCTTTTTAGGGAGTAAGAACTTTCTCCTAGAAACCCGAGGGAATGCAAGCTTTATCTGAATGCCTGACCATGGAAAAAGGACTCTCTAATTTTATCTCTTCCAAGTATAAGCCTTAGAAAACAAAAATTTTTCAATTGAAGTTCCCCTTAGTATCAAAACAACAAAAAATTATGACTCTGTATTCAAATAGCTTAACTTCAACCAAGTTTGGAGGCTAAACATACATTTTTAAGCCTGAATAGACCTTGAGCAAGGAGATATATTTTTTTAAGTCACTGATTCTCAATTTTTAAATGGTTTAACCTTTTAATATAGTTTCCCATGTTATGGTGATCCCCTATTACAAAATTTTTCCTGTTGTTATTTTACATCTGCAGTTTTGTCATTGTTACGAATCTTAATGCAACCATATGACATGCAGGAGGTCCTAGGCTACCCTAGTAAAAACTGTTTCAAGTCCTTTGCCGCATGGCTTAGGTCATTGTCTTGCTGCATTACAAGAAATGAACTTCCCACTTTCTGGCTAGCAGTTGATGCTTATGGCTCTGATTTTTAGCCTTTTATTAAGTCCAAGCATTAACAATATAAAAAAATTTATATGCACCAGTGTCCCATAGTGTTAGTTGTTCTTAAAAAAAAGTTAAAATCTCTTAAATGTCTTCCTGCAATATCAAAGACGGAGTACCTCTTTCACTCCATCTTCGATAGCATATACATAGCCTGTCTTTTAGATCTCAGCCTACTCTATTTCACTGTAGCTGGAACTTATGGTGACTATTGCCTGGCACTGGCAAAAAAAAAAAAAAGCACATTCAGTATTTGCAGGTATGAGAAACCACAGCAAACATAGTTCACATCCCCTTCTGAGCTTTTAGAACTTTTTATAAACCTTCAATCCATTTTTCCTCTCTTCATTCTTTCAGTCTCCTGCTGTCTTTCCTGCATTCCAGACAACATACCAAAGTCGTTCTCACTTTTTAGACAACATATAACTCTTACCAAAGTCTTTCTTATGGTTTCCCTCAGTAGTATATAATATATTGTATGGCTAAAATATCTTAAACAATAACAGAAACATTCATATCCTATAACAAAAAATAACTTTAAATTTACATCACATAAAATCCTATACCAGCGTGAAGCATCTGAGACTAACAGTACTTTTTTTTTTCCATACCCTAACCAATAGTAATTTGTAACCAGTCCCTCTAAATGATGACAGATATTTACAACCCATTGGATCCGAATGGTCAAAGCAGCTCTGCTAGGGAGAAGTCTGGCTATAGTGTTACAACATGGGCACTGCAGCTTAACACCTAAAGCCAATGCCCTTGGCCAGAGGCGCCAAACCTTGATTAGGTTTGGCCAGAAGTCGAGACATGCAGCCCCCTGGACAGGCCAAGGGAACCCATCCGCCAGCACGGGAGGGAGCAGGGTGGGATGTAGCATGGGATTTTTTTTGAGAAAGGGGTGTTCTGAATGTGGCAGTTGTAGAGATCATTGGTGGCAAAGGGGTTAATAGTGGAAGGGCTGGTTCCCAACTCCATCAGGAGGACCTGCTGGTCAGAGAGGGAGGGCCAAGGACTCTGGTCAGAAATTTGCCCCCCTCCGGGTCCTAGTGGCCTGTGCCGGTCCTTGGGGTGGGCCTGCAGCTTCAGGTCTAAAAGGGAAGTACGGAGGAGGGAAGATCCCTGACTCATCCGAGGACAGGCTTGGCTTCTTCTCGGGGAGGAGGGGGTTTAAGGAAAAACCTGCAAAGGTGAAGGGTGTGCAGTCAGGTTATGTGGAAGAAAAGGTTTAACCCACAGGAGGAGGTCATCATCGGGTCCAAGAGAGCCTGCCAGGGCACGATGTATGGTTCTGGACTCCTGTGCGAGTTTGGAAAACAATGTCCTCAACCTTAGAAATCGAACTCAGGTGAAAAGATCCCTCCCTGGGACAGCACACATTGAAAGAGGGTCATTCAGAAAAACAGAAAATGATCCATTTACTCCTCCTTACTATTTGGTCAAAAGTGAGACCCCAGACCCCTGACATCCCTATATCCAAGGAGTCTGGGGTGATTGATTGAAAGCGTCACCCCAGCCGCTGGCCCCTAGCATCTATTCAGATACCGAGATTGGTGCTGACAAAAAAAAAAAAAAAAACGGAAGTAAGACAGACAAGACTGCAAATACAGATAGATTTACTATGGTCAATCAGAATAAACCTTCGGGGTTGGAGGTCCCAATGAGGATCCCTGGGGATCCCGGACAATCCTCCAAATGTTATGCACAGTCTGTGAGGACCCCAAAAGACCAAAGGGAGACCGACTCATTGAATTGCAAAAGCGAGGTTTATTGGGTGCACAATTGAAGCTGTCAGGGACCTTGACAAAGCAACTGGCACAGCAACAGCAAGAGGAGGTACCCCGCCCTTCTAGAGGGCACTATTTCAAAGCAAAACCGAGAACAGTTACATTACCAGGGTTTGTGCTGGCAGGTGGGTTCCATCTACAAAGGTTGGGAAATTAGGAATTTCCTACGGATGGTATATTCGTGGGTGGTGGCTGGATTGTCTCAGTTCGCAGTCTTCATCAGAACCAGGTATTGCCTCAGGGTAAACTACTGAGACTCAGGTCTCTGTTGAGCTTGTCATGGTTGGCTCCTACACTAGACATACACAGGCACCAAACATATAGACATACATTCTGCTTATAAAATTTGTGTTGGAGATATAACAACTGAAGTTTGCAGCTTTCTAAGATCTTAAAGAAAGAGGGAGACAGGAATAGGAAAATTCAGTAAAGCTCAGCTTGTATTCTTCCAACCTGTCTTGCTATCATTTTCTCCTTTTTTTTTTATTTTACTACGCCCCTACTTCCTCTCCACATCCCCTCCCCTCTGCATCCACTCTTTTCCTGTTTTTCATTAGGAAAGAACAGGCTTCTAAATGATAACAATCAAACACAGCAAACTAAAATA